TCACCTGATTTTGATATAACAAGATTCTTTTCTGAATCTGACAGCGTGGAGTTGAGCTCATCGTCACTGCCTTGGTATGAATCATGTGTTGGGACTGATTCTCTGTGTGATCTAGAAACAGAATCCTTACTGTCTTTGGATAGAGACTGATCATCATGACCTCCATCCTCCTCCTGATCTTGAAGCTTGCTCCCCGAGCTCACACCATCCTCATCCTAGAGGGATAAATATGCAATTGTAAGAATACTAACAGGTTCAATAATAAGCTGCTCACTGTTATGCAACAACAATTAACAGAAAAACCAATATCTCCGGGATATTCCAAATACTTACACAAGACCTGCAAGCTTTATCCTAGGAATTATAAAGTATGTTCAAAAAATAAAGCATATGTACAAACCTCCGACAGCAGCTTCTTCGGCTTGTCCTTGATCTCCACCACCAAAGAAATTATCACAGCATTTCTCTGTTTATGCCTCTCTGTCCAGTTTGCGTACGCCACAGGGAGATCTTGTTCACTAACTGCAACCTATACAATTAATGCTTTTGAATTAGCAGGAACAACAAAAATTTTGAAACTGTAATCTTTCGAGTGTTGAACAGCACAAGGCGGCAGCTAAATAAATGCTCTGGACAACATACTAACCAATGCTCATGCAGCTTCTTCTGTTCTTCCTTGATGAATACTTCATATGATTGCACATGAATGTTATCAAGATTGCCCAAAACACGGTTAAGAGATCTGGATTGGATGCTTTTACCAGTCTGCTTCATACTCTTAACAAGTTCATGCTGCTTCTTGCTAATCTGACATGCACAGAAAAAGATTTCAGAAAATTCAACAGATATTCAACAACACCCAGTGTACAAAAAGACCAGCTCGTCCTGAAAGAAAAGAAAGAAGAAAATGATCCACAGACATTATCAACAACACATTTGATTCCGTCCTTTCTAGCAGAATAGGCAACAAATTTTATGGAACAGAGGGGAAAACTAGTGGGGAAAAACATGGAAGATTTTTATGAACACAGCAATCTGACAGCAATACGACAGACCTGGAAACCGTCAAATCAGTGAGTTTAAATTATCATATGAGAGTTGGAACAATGGCAATTAGCATAATTGAAAACCAACATTTGTCCTTCTAATTACTGAAATTAAAAAAAATAACTGACTGAACTATTGAGATGTTCGTCCCTGCCAATTCTTTACTTTAAAAACATTAAAAAGAAGTTATTAAAATAAAATTTGAGGAGTGGAGAAAAAAGTGGGGGAGCGCCTAACCTTGATACATGACATGTATTTGTTGCTTTCACTAGAATAAGTGTTACGCTTGAGTAGTTTGTCTCCCTTCATAGTCTTGCTCTCTCATTAAGCATATCATCTGAAGAAACAATCAGATTTCTAGGTTTACCTTTGACAGAACCTTTGTCAGGCACCCTGAAAGCCAATATTTCAACAGTGAAAACTACTTGCACAGGACCATTCCAGGTTTTCCATATACATAAAAATTTTGCTCTCAAGATATGGGTAAATTACTTGTTTTCTTTGTTGATATGACACAACTACTCATCAAAGACATTCAATTACATAATCCCAAAACCAACTTAAAGAAGAATATAAAAGTCAAAACAACAGGATTGAATAAGCAGAAATATCTGACCCCCCCCCCAACAAGCTGTTAGCTGAGATGGTAAATAATCTCAAAAAGCACACTTGTTAGAAAGGCCTTAACATTAAATGCTCCTAACCCGACAAAATTAGTCTCAAATCCAAAATAACTTGAGAATACTCCAAGTTACACCAGAAAAAATTTTACCCCCCCCCCCAAAAAAAAAAAAAAACACCATCTTGCGCAATGACAGTTTTGGCACTGTCCAAACAGGAAATCCGTTAGACCACAAGTTTCTTGGCGGTTGCTTGTGCAAATAATACAATTTGGAGAAATGAAACATAAGCTGTGACAGAGACCGCCGCTAGAGGATATTATCAACATCAGGCTAGCAAGCAAGCGATTAATGTGTTACCACCAGAAATATGACAGGACTAGTTACAATAAAGACATCCAGCATAGCTCAACTGCATATAACCAAAGAGAAATACTGGTCTCAGTTAACTTTGACGTACCCCTCCCGAGAGATGAAATTAACTAGATACCATATATGCTGAAACCAATATTGCTAATAGTTAAGGATTTTGATTAGTTACCTTTTCTGAAGCTTATCACCTTGCCTCACTGAGGAAATTTGGTTGTCACTACTAAATGCTTTCTCCTCAGCAGCCCAAGAACCTGATTCAGATGAAGCTGTAACATTCTCATCATGATTGTAAACCCTGGATTCATAAATATTTAAGGGCATTCTTTTCTCCACATTCTTTGACCTGCATAATCCCATAAAATTATGGCATCAGTGATGATGAACTAAGCTTCCAATTCAAATGGAGAAGAACCTGTATCAAAAGCAAATTCAGTTTATTACAAGCAAAACTTAGCGTATATTATGTTGTCATATCAGAATTGAGTTACTTGTGGGTAACCTACCAACCTTAAAACATGACAATGAAACCCTTGAAAAATTCAAATTTGTGCAAATAACCCCCCTCGGCAATTATTTAACATTTTATTTCAGGTTGGAAAGTTAATGGAGTCAGCCCCAAAGGCGGAGATGGAGTCGCCAAGAAAAACTGAAAAGCATTTAGAAGAAAAAGGCTTTTTTTTTTGTCTACTAAATATAATTAACAGGATAAAAATGTCTTGTAAACACCAAATGAATTCATGATGGTGAAATCCATGCCAATTTTGTTATGATATAAACATGATATAGAAAATTCGCCTTTATTTTGGTTTTTTTTTTGGGGGGGGGTCAAATTACAAAACAAATTTAAAGACGTGTGTGTGTGTAGAGAGAGAGAGAGAGAGAGAGTTTGACTCAGTTCAATTTTCAACTTTTCGGTGTTCCAAAGGCGGCAATGGGGAAAATACATCTCATTAAACAAGTCTAAGCAATGAAAATCCGGGAATCAACCATCTCAGCATTTAAATGGCAGGGCATCTCAAATCAGTGATAAAATTCATGCATTATATGAATGGCATAGGGTATATTCCAGTTGCCTTGTCCCTGCAGGTAAAATGGAGAACCACCAATGCCAGTATTGGCAAGCAAGAGTTGGATAAGACATCCTCCTCATAATCATAATGGAAAGACCTGTCTAACTTTCTTGTATGTGTGTGCGTGTGTAGGGTATGCAAAATGCAATGCATCAGAAGTCTATAAATATACACCTCCAAGTCTTGGGCACAATTTCCTTTTCTGGATCTTGGCTGTGTTCCCACTTCTCTTTCAACTTTTTTAAATATCCTATCATACTGCAACAAGAAGAATTAAATTACTGCAATAAATATTATAATGCGACAAAAGAAGGGTGTGCAATGGAATAATGAAGCATAACTTACTCATGGTGATAATTATGTAACTCTGCATAGTATGCTTTCTTATCAGACTTCAGACATTTTTCCTTATCAACAATCATATCAGGATGAAGATCCCCTGAACAAAGTGAGGAGCCCCTGCAGGTATATAATTCAAACCCCATTAAGACTCAGGAAACAGGAATATCTACATAAAAAGACCAGTTCACTAAAGAAATTTTATCACTTTCTGTAAAGAAAAATTGCCAAGATGGAGAGGAATGGCGAGCATTTTTATTTTTTATTTTTGGTTTTTTGTTTGGGGGGGGGGGACTCTGAGAATGAGCCATAACAACAGTATTATACATAATCACAAGCAACAGGCATATCAGTATAGAGGAGACGAAAACTAAGCCTCAAGCTATTTCAACACGAGTCATATCATCATGTGCCCAGTCTTTCCTCATTTACCTTACCTAAATAATTCATGAAGACAAGTAGGTAATTAGAGACACGTCATTTTGGAGGAGACGAAAACTGAGCCTCAAGCTATCTCAACGTGAATCTTATTATCACATGCCCAATCTTTCCCCATTTACCCTTAAGGGTAAGTACATAATTACAATAGTTGGTCATTACTATTCATTCAACTAACAATTATTACCCAACTACTAGTCTCAAGCAACAATAACGCCTCCCATGAAAAATAGGACTTCTCCGCATATACAAGGGCAATTTATTGTATAATTGGTGAGGCATATTACCAAATTGTTTTCTATTTGAATATCGTAGCTGCATGCAATGTCATGTTGTACCCAATAATTAATTATGGCAAAATGTTGTAGGCATTAGGTAACAATCATGCGCAATGCATAGGTGAGGCCATGCATAGAGTAAACGTAATTATTTTTTCTTTTAATTTTAAATAGCACGAATCATTTTAGGTGCTTTATATATATTAGGTTGATAGGCTTTACCTCCTCTCCTACTTTCATTCCCTCTCCCTTCATTGGCAGTTATCTTGTTTTCTCTTACAAAGTAAGTTCTCACTTCATTCAGAAAAATCGCTCTTAAGTAAGCTAGTATTAGTGTCATAGCTGTAACTTCTGTTTCTCGCTCCATACTTCATACTTCTCTCACCATTGCACTCTCTTCAGCCCCCTATTTCTTTTTTCAAATTTATTTTGATTTGTTTTCTAGATGGATACACAGAGGCACTGGCTTAATCATCAGATTCAATATTTATAGAGCTGTGAGCATAGTGGTGCACCAAAGTACCACCACTAAGGAGGCAATCGCATGGCCTCTCAATGCAGTTGTTATCTCCACTATTTGCACCCCCCTCAACAATCAGCAGGGACTGAAGAGAGTGCAACGGTAAGAGAAGAAGTATGAAGTATGCAACGAGAGATGAAAGTTACAGCTATAATATCAGTACCAGCTCACTCAAAGAGTTAAGACTTAAGAGCGATTTCTCTGTATAAAATGATAACTTAATTTGCAAGAGAAAATAAGAAAATTGTCAATGGAGGGGGAAAGAGGGAATGAAAGTGGGAGAGAAGATAGATGGAACGTTAAAATCGCAACCCATCAACCTAATACATATAAAGCACCCAGAACAATTCATGCTATTTAAAATTTTTAAAAAATAATCACATTTACCCTACGCATGGCCTCACTTATGCCTAGCGCATTATTATCACTTAAAATATCTACAACATTTTGCCATAATTACTTATTACCTACATCACTGCCTACAGCATGGCATTGCATGCAGCTAAGACATTCAAATAGAAAACAATTTGGTAGCCTCCATAATTATAGTAATAGATGAATTAGGGGAAACCAATAAAGGTCGCATCTTGAGTGTTTCTATTGCTTTAAGGGGATATGACCTTACTTGCTTTCAAGGATATATTACTTCAAGCAATCAAGACACAAATCTTACTATCACAAACCCAATCCTTCCTCACTTCCATTATTCACATTACTCATAAGGGTTTAGTAGCAAGATACAATGGTAATCACTATCAGTCATTCAACTAAAAATGATTACTTACTAACTAAATAACTTGAAGTTTCATGTAACAATCACTCCCCCCCCCCCCGGGGGATAAAATAATCCTTATCATTAAGGATTGTGGTAATGGCCGAATGAGGGAAGCCAATAAAGGATGCCTCTTGAGTATTTACACTGGTTTAAGAATAGATTGTCTTTCTACTGCAATTTCAAGTTCAAGTATCATTAGAAGCTTTAGCTTCCTCTTCTTGAGTCAGAATTATAAAGATTTGAGAGTCCTTCAATTTGTGATAAGATGAATATATCTCAGGAAACCAGAAATATAATCCCTTGCTCCTTCTCTCCTCTCTCTGGGTAAGCTGCTCGATTCATATGTCATTGAGCTGGATATTTGATTTTCGACAACCGCAGAGGGACTTTTCTGTTTCAGTTAGTTATCCTGCATTCATGGATTCAAGAAAGAGGTAAGGCTGCTCTGGGTTGCATGGATCTGTTAGGGGTAGGTAGTAATTTAGTTATGGAGAGCACGGATGGATGCCCCTCACTATCTTGCTAGGTGTACAGTGTTCATAAGTGAGTTGGATATGAAACTCAATTTCAGCTTTTAATCCTCCCAAGATGCAGTTGATGGCAATTCGTCGATCTTCTCTCAGTATCCAGTCCTAATCTTTTGCATTAGGTCTTTCAATTCAGGCATTGCATACACTCGTAAGTCTCCGAAGCCCCGGCAACAAAGATACTCCAGCTGACATGGTCCTCCTATTCTTCCCTTCCTCAGAAATGTTTGACGCCAATGTTGTGCCTTACCTTCCAATGGAAGTTTATCAATTGGATGCTCTGGTCCAAAACAGGCGCATCAGCTTCAAAGAATCACCCATTAGGCCACCATTGAGTAAACTGAATTGCATCAGTTTGATATTCATCCTCCA